TCGGTCTTGAAACACAGCTATCTTGGAACATTAATACCCTTCCCTACCCGGAATTAAATCTACACGATTTAATTGTTTAAAATTAAAATTATTATAACGATTTAATTGTTTAAAATTAAAATTATAACAAGGATTTTATTATTTTAATTTAATGTTTTAAGTTATACAATAAATTACTTTAGTAGAATTCTTCTTGAGTATAAGAAGCGGGGTTAGAAAACAGTGTAAATCGTTCGAACGATCCGGAAAATTCAGAGCGACATGTCCTGAAATTCCTATACCTTCGCGCTTCGTCCTGGCTTCGTCATGCTCGATCCAGAGACGCGCGTCGATCCATCATTTGGAATAGAAGCAGAAGTGTCCGGCGGTATCTGGGATACGTCAAAGTGAAGCCCGAGTCTCGCTCACTCGCTCGTGCACTTCGTCTTTTCGGAGAGAGAGAGAGAGAGAGAGAAGACCATCTCGCGCGCGACCATATGGTCGCCGGCGGCGCAGGTCATTATTTTCTAGCAGGATTGCTCAGAGGAGAAATCCAGAGGAAAGGGAACGTGGAATGGGGAGATCGGGGCCCACCACGAAATTGCTCGAAAATTACTCGGCGCACCTCGCCCGGCTTTTCGTTTTTCGGGGATAATTTTATGATCCGGGGATTTTTAATTTGAATTTCAATACGGAGCGAAGCGCACACGATCCTTTTTTCCCCGTGCCCCATTCTTCCTGGAACGCGATACCGGCTGCTACGATGAAAGTATCGATTCGCCGGATGGGTGTCAGGGTATCTGTTCCGCTTAAATAAATTGATACATAACCTAAAATAGAATTATCAACTTTATATATAAATTAAAACCTTGTAAAGAAATTGATCGAGCTTTATTAAATTTTGATATTAAATTTAAAACATACTAAATACCACGGGACACCGTTACAGCGATGTATCATGTATCTATATAGTCTATAATATTATCGCATGTTATAGATAAATCATAATTTTTTTTGTGCTGTAACTTTACACTCTGCTTCGACGTGTCAGCTATGTGATACATTGGTAGCACTTTAGGATTTAATATACGTCGCTTTTTTTTGACGTATTAAACTTTTTATTGACGCACCATTAAGATCATGCCGCCAGTCATGCGAGGAGGGCTTAAAATACCGGATGGAGATTGTATATATTATATACGTAGAAACTAAGTAGCATTTTATAAGAGCGTTGTCGTGTATACATTTTTGTCGGTTCGTTACTCAAAAGAGTGACTTGAAACTTTAAGTAGCTACTTCCCTCGGTCTCGAGAGATCTTAGAGAGACCTCGGATTCTGAGCACCTATACTCTCATGTAGATGAAGCCTTGCACGAATCTCGTCTGAAACGCTCTTGGATCGTTTACCCTGATTTGCATATTTCGTGAAACATGCAGCGGGGAACGGTGCAATAAACTAAAATGCAATCTGGAATAGAATATTGCGGCTTTACGATGCTATTAAACGGCACAACGTTGAATAAATACGCACGTGTGTAGCAAGAAGTGTTAATCACTTCCTCAATTAGCGTTCTCTCGCGTACGATCAGTGACTATAAACCTATATTTATTGATACGACATCGTTTGAGTGCATATATGTTACATCTGTTGCAATAACATTTGATTGCATCAGTGCGAAATATCAGATCTACTTTACGGTAAATAGAATTAAGATATAAAGCAACACGGTTTTAATATGTGTCGTAATTGTGTAACAAATTCAGAAATTGCTCAGTTCCATCACTTTTTCTCTTTGGCTTGCGCTCATTTTTTCTTTTTTCGCTCTAACCCCGCCTCTCATAAAATAGAGAATAATATCGCCCTCCTCTTTCCACCTCCTGAACATTTTTGGTGGACTCACGACGGAACTGTATTTTTTCCTCTCTAAAGATAAATCTGCCCGCGTGCCATATGTCGACTTGATCCTGGAAAACGTTTTCCGATTTCTCGCATGCAACAGATGGCCGGGTAGGGCGGTACGTCCTCTTCTTGAAGGATCTGAAAATCCTATGGGAGCGATTCTTTTTCTCCGACATGTTCTCTCTAGCCACGAATTAGCAATTTGTATTATACATCGGAATATTGCTGAAATTTAAAAAAAATATATATTAGAAAGTATCATTTGTCTGAAAAGTCTTTATACATTTTGGAAAATTAATGTTATTACTAGCTAAACTAGAAGCCGTAACGAAGATAAAAAAATTTATAGATACAACGATCAAAGAGAGAAAGTTAGTAAAGAATTTGAATATTCTTTAGATAGGAAAATGAATAAAATAATTAGCTTATCGTACAAGCTTCGACAACTATAATGAGCGAGATCTAAGCAGAAGTGATTTAAGTCTCTTCTAACATGAGAGAGACTATCTATAATATAATATAATATGTGTTTGTGTGTGTGTAGTGTGTATGTGATTTAAACATACCGTTGTTATTCGGGAAATAATTCGAATTAATGAAGTTTAAAGATAAGAAAGTTGATAATAATTTTACAGGTCTTGAATATAACAACTTTTGACATTTCTCACAATATATATTTAAAGATATTAAAGATTAATTAAAGATATTATAAAATATAATATCTAAATATAATATATATGCAAAAATATATCCTATATATATATTTAAAAATCACGTTTTTTAGTTTTTTAAAATGCATTCCAAAAAATAACAAAAAATCTAAATTAAAATAATTAAAAAGATATTTATAAAATACTTTTTTACATTTATTTACATATAGAATCCTACATCTTGAATATTATTTCAAGAAATTGAAAAAAGATCTTGAACAACAAAATTTATTTTGTCCTCTGACGATTAGAATACGTGGGATTCTCTGTACATGTTCCTACATACATAGTATATATAAATTCCTATACGAATTTAAAAGAGGGTAGGGAGAAGAAATGACGCGACACATCGCGAAAAGAACGTGTGTGGGAAGGGACGATCTTCTATTATAAATCATAAGAATGATTATGTTAAAATCCGCTAGGGCCAGCTCATTAGTTCGCGAAATATCGTCCGGTTTCTCTTTTTATCTCGTCTTCCCAAGGCTATCTAGTCGAGGCTGGCGAGGGTGGGGAAGAGGGAAGAGATGAACGGCGTAGAAAACAATTTGGACGTCCCATTTGAGACCCGGGTAGTGCCTTAATTAGTCCCACCATAGCAGATTACCAATCAGCAATTCGGCAATTACGATGCGGTGATTTTTCAACTTGCTGACTATAACGCTCGAGACTTTTTAAGTAAGGATGTACCGATAGGATATCGATACACGAAAATACACTTTTCCTGATTTTCCGCTCGTTAGACATATCACATATTACGAAAGTATCGAAATAAATGTATATATAAATATATTAATATATAAATTAATAAATATATTAATGTCAAAAATTCATTTTTTTTATGTATGTTATTTTTACAATTTTTGCTAATAAAACAAAATAAATATAAAATAGATATATCTTTTTAAATTTTATTAAATAATTTTTTGTCTATAAAACGATACCTTGTTAGAAAATAAATAAACAAACAATGAAGGAAAAAAAGAAAAAATTATTTTAATTATTTATTAGCGCATAATAAAGACTGTATGATAATAATATAATTGTATGAATAACTTGCTAAAATATGGAATTGTCCCAAAAATGGTCGCTTTTTCAATCTGATACAATTAAAACTAGAAGTACCCACGTGGAAACAAGAAAAGGAAGCAACCTATTCAATTTCGGCAAATCCCCCTTCCCCCCTTAAGCCAATCCTTCGAAGGAAACTGTTAAATCTATTACGGCTGTAAAGCTCGATCACGATCACGTTCCGTGAAGAGGGTCGAGGATCGAGTCTCGAGCGGCGAGTTGCATCTTATGTTCGTAAGAAAGGAGGGATAGAACGGAGAGACAGAGAAGTGTGTTTTGTAGTTTCGGTGGGCCAGGTCGCAGGTAGGCGGCGAACGGACCCCTGAAATCACTCGAAAAATGAGGGGGTACACAGGCCTCCCGTAACATTTCTTTTCTCTTTTTTCTTGTTCAAACGCGATATAATCGTTTGTCCTCTCGTGGAGGGTGGACGTGGAAGAATGGCGGTGAAAGGGATGAAAACTAGCAGTTTGTTTCTGTAACTCTTTCAGTTTGATAATTTTGTTATTCTAGCTGATGTCTGGTTGCTGCTGATATCCTGAAACCGATGTATACTTGTTAAACCCTTTAATACATTTAAAATTAACATTTATCTATATATATATATATATATATATATATTCTAATAATATAAAATATTAATTTAATAATAAATTAAATTATTTATTTATGGAAATATATATAAATAATTTCTATCTTAATATTACGATTGTATTCATCGTACCTTTATCCTTTTTTCATGCACATCATACACGTTTCTTGATAGATACAAATGACAAATTATACTGATAACATGTGTTAGACGATATTAAGTTTAATATGAAATTCTCTCGAAATGAGAAACCAATTTATTAAGCTTTGAAAAATGTCAGAAAGATATATAGTTTCAAATATAAAATTTGACAACATTTTACAAAAAATGAGCAAAGAGTGATGTAAGTAAATCGAAGGACAGAGTAACAAGCCAGAAGAGCAGGCTTTATGTAAGTCCTTATCTGCAGGACGTTCATCTCCCTGGAAGAGAAGGGTCGCTACGACAAAGATACTTGATATATTTCGTGGAAACATGTTATCGGAATATTAACGTGCCTCTTCAAGTATACGGAGAAAGCGATGACACCTTGGATAAGTATAAATAGGAACGGAACGTACATCATCATCTTTTTTTTCCTTGTCACTCTTACGCGCGATTAAGTATCGAATTTAAAAAGGGGATTTATACAGATAATTCTTGATAACATAATTCTTGCAATTTTATTTTTATGTTCAACCAACATCTACATTTTTTTATTTTTTAAATTTCTCAGAAAATATTTCAAAGAATACACTTTGTACAATTAAAATTTTACTTTTTTACTTATAACTTAAATTTGAGTCTTAAGAAATGAAAATCTTCAATTATATAATGAAATATACATGTACAATTGCTCGTATATTCTTAATATGTTACCATATATAATCTTATACAAATTGCTATTTACAAAGAACTACATTTCAAACGAGAGAATCTAGATCTATACTTTTCATGATTTTAGTTTCACACTCGTACATTGTCCCTACTTATTCCTAATATATTATCCCTATAATTTATTTCTAATAAATTATTCGTACTTATTTCTAATACATTCCAAAAATTATTATTAGCATCATTATAAGCAAGGAAGATTAAAAGGATAAAAAATAAAAAACGGAAAGTGCATAATATCTCTTCTATACATAATTGGTTAGAGAATATCAGTCTCGAATCGTTAAAATGTGCAGATCAGTTCTATCTCTGTACGAGTGCCGATCTTATCAAGCTATCTATAATAATAAGAGCTTGGACCTTCGAGTTATTTTTACTCGATGAGTATTACCTATTATCTTGAGTTATCTATTATCTTTCTCGTTATATGTCAAGCGTGCTTTCGGGAAATGTAAATTTCTCGTGATGAAAGTCTTCCCAAATAAATAACATCTTCGATGAATCGTCAAATCTCATGCGGTCATCACTGTTGCTGGAAGCTGTTTGTTACCGTCATTGCTATTCGTCGCGTCTACCTGACCTGATGTCCTCGGCGCTCTATCCGTAGCGTCTGTTTCTTGATTCTTCTCCAGATTAACGTAATATACGTGCCGCGCGGCGTAGCAAAGAATCATCATCTCGATTAATATCAGCGCGTTGCTTGTCACTGAAATCGAGAACAGGAAAATTATGAAGCGATATTATCAATTATATCAACGTTTAAATTAATCTATTATTAATGGAAGCATTTATGAAGATTGTGAATAACGATATTAATTATATAATTATTCTAAAAATCTATAATATATGTTTCTAAATATAATATGTTAAAAAGAAAAGTGGATTTGTGAAATGATTTGTAAATGCGCTTTTTAAAATTACACTTGAATCTGATATGGTTTTTAATGGAATTAATATAATAATTTTGTCGATATTAATAAAAACCAAAATATTAATATATAATGTAAAAAATTATACAAACACTACACTACAAATATCACTGAAACATACACTAAATGAGACCTTTTTTGACACAAATGATATGCTGTCTCATGTTAGTTTGAAAAATTTATTCGTAGTACGTGGAACGGGTGAATTTTTATGGTGCTCGCGGATGCTGCGTGACGTCTCTTTTTTCAGTGAAACGAGTTTCTTTGTTACAGTAGGTCGTAGGTCCATGGAGCAGTAAAAAGAAGAGACGTATTCTAAATTCAAAGTTGAATGATCTTATCATGCTGTTTGAAGAAACTACCGGACCGTAAAATTATCGTTCTTTTATCGGTCCCTGCCAGAACGTTATAGTGCAGTAGTAAATTAAATAATAAATACGGTCGCGATAGTGTATGAATAGTTATATGATTCCAGCAGCTTATCTATCCCGAATCAAGATGTTAAATAATTTATTAATTGCCCGTTTCGTCATAGTTAATACGAAATGTGTTATTTATAAAACGAAATACATTATAATTAAATAAACATATGTTTAGAAATGTTGTTTAATTTGCACCTCGTAACTTTCTGGCAATCTAGAACAGGTTTATAAAAAAAATTTATAGGTCAATCAAATAAGTAAATAAATAATTAAATATGAATAATTAAATTTGATAACATTTATAGTATTTACTTTTATTTAATTATGGATCTCTGATTTAATAATAATGTGATAGTAAGATTTTTTTCACCTGGTGAGCTGCGATATTTATTATTATATTTATAATTTATAATTTCATTTTTAATCAGTTTTAATCGTTGATTTTGGATAGAGCATGGAAATGAGTAAAACAGAAACAGAACCAAAATGGTAACACATATATTACCGTTGGCGTAAACTGTCGGAGTGAGGGGAGAATTGCACGGAAATACGCCCGCGGCGGGCAAGGCTCTGATAATACCGGTCTGCAGCTTAGAGAACAACATTACCAATTGTAACACCATCGTCTTATAATGTAGCTTGGCCTCTGAAACGGAAACGGACAATATTGATCAGAAACTTTCATTCCTATTAATGTAGCATGAACAGCAATTTCTCGAAAAATTACTTCCTGCGACGCTCAGCGATCATCCCAGGATAATTATTATTGTTTGACAAATATGTGCGTGTTGGACTTTATATAACAGTAAATTTACTTCAACAGACATACAAATTGTGATCAAAATGTGTTGAAAATTTTTTCGAGAGATAAATACTAATTGAACTTTATCAACGCATAAAAATGAAATAAAATTATCAGAAGTATATGTACATATATAATATAAAGTTAAAATTAGGTAAAATTATTATAAAATAAACGTATTAATAAAATATAAAAATATTATTTTTTTAGTTCAAGCATCTTTTCTTTTTCTTCTTCTTTCAGAAGAAGAAGAGCATTTTTTCATTATGACAAATATATTGCAATAAATAGACTGATATTAAGATTGTAATAAATAAAACATTTGATTTACTAACATGTAAATACTGTTACATCTTTAATTTTTAAGAAAGTTTTACGAGAAAAAAATAAAATATTGATCAAGTCTTAATTATGTTTATAGAGAGGTATAAATATTGAGAAATTGATTGATATATATACTGCAGGTAAATCTTCCGTAAAATGTATGGGGAAAGAAACCTTGAATAAGCACTCATTACCTGGGACTGCTGCATGTAAAGTCTTTGTAGCGATGGTTAAACTGTATATTCCTAGAAGTATACTGATTACCATGATCGGCTGAAGGAACGTGACGTATTGCGTGGCAAGCATTGGATCCTCAGCTTCCATATATAACAATATGAAGTAAAGAAGACTCTGAAAATACAAACATTTTTTTACATTAAAGTTTCAAAGATTTTTAGTACTTATGTGTGCGTGTACTTCGAAAACGAAAAAAAATCTTCATTCAACCATTTCATTTAACACGTCTGCTATTCGTTAATGGATTTAATTAGCACGAAGAGTCGGGATTGGAAACTCATATATGAATATACTGATATATTAAATAATATACTGAAATGCGTCTTTGCCTCTCTCGAGGTTACGCATTTCCTAATTCTGCCTGCAAGGCAACTGACGTAAATTAACTGGTAAATATTACAGATATCTGCTATCCGTTAATACCAAATCGATCGCTGTAAGCAAATAAATGGTTTACGAATATGTTTACCAGATAATTTCGTGATAGCAACAAGCCGAATCTAATTTTACTTGTTAATTGAAGTAATTAATCAGTCATATACTATGTAATCTATGATTGATGAGAGTCATAGAAATTATGAAAATTTATGTATCCTACAATTTTATGTATTCTATTTAAAAATTGTTATACATATTCTAGAAAAAGAGATTAAAGAGAGAGATACTTGAATTAATTTGCTCCGTATATCAGAAGTCGTATTTGCTACAATAGTGAGAGCAAAATTTTTGGCGAAGAAGAAATCAAATTAATGTAATCAATTTTAATTAATTTAAATATAATTAATGCGACTAAAACAATAAATGCAATGTTCTTTATATTGAGAAAGTTTAAATTAATGCTATACATATATAGTAAAAGCAACAATTGTTTTTATAAATTTTAATTATTTCGCCCGGTAATTAAAACAGTTATTTAGCATGGCATAAGTGAAGCGATAATCGAAGCGTGAAGGAGATGGAGGGAGATCTCTTTTTTACCTGGGCGATAGGAAGCTGAAGGGCCAGAATTCCTATCCAAGACAAATTGGCGTCGGTCATTTGAAGGTTTGGAAAGGGCAGACAGGGCCAGCAGCAACAGGGTCCAACTCGTAGCATCAATGTTGGCGTCTCGCTCGTCTTCCGGCGACCAACGTCCAAGAGGAGAAGATAGAGGCGATACATCGAAATCATTAAGAAAATCTGAGTTACCGCCTCCGATAGTAACTGGCCTCTGTCGAAAGTCAAAAAAACGTCATTATTCCGGCAAGTTTCGCGAAACGAACGAACAAGTGTTAAAGTGATGAGATTCCGGGGAAATTATCATTATTGATTGACAATTTAAAATTGCCTTGAAATTGCATAAATGAGAAAATTTGGAAACACATTAATAAAATCTATTTTTATCAATTTTTTATATAATTAATTGTAAATATAGGACATAAGATGTTATTATTTAATAACATATATGATATAAATTAATAGTAACGGAGGAGAAAAAAGATTTAAATAAGATTCTTGGTGCAAGTGAGATAACGTTTTTAAGCGAGTCATTAATCAATGTTTAACGTATGAAACACAAAAGGCTATTAAAACTTTATTTCGGAAGGCATTATCGTTATCAAATGCAAAAACATAATTCATAAGCATTTATCAGCATTGCCAGACACTAAGACAAAGTGATGCGTCAAACTGATGATAATTTTTGTTGATAAATAAATGAGTAACGCGAAGTTTAAGAAAAGATTATCATGGAAATTTGAATTAAAAAATTCCCTTTAAACAATTTATAATTTACAATAGAAATCTATTTATAATTTTGCATATCGTATATTCTAATATTGTATGTATAACTTTATCGTATTTATTTTTTCTTTATTTTTCTTATTTTAAGAAAGATAAAAAAAAAGAAATACGATAAAGTTATACATAATACAATATTAGAATATACGATATGCAAAATTATAAAATGTTTAAGTTATTTAGTTAGTTTTTTACTGGAACATTGAAATTCATCTTTTACTTAAATACTCCAATTTTTCGAGTTTCTTTTTTATTATTTTTAAACGAGTGTTAAGAAAATCTGTTTTTAAGAATTTTTCTACGGAAAATAACGAGTTTATACAGTGATTTACGATACTGATCACATGTATTGTAATGTATATAACAATTATCTATGATTAATTGAATCGAAAAAGGCAATTGACAAAAGTGACTTTTCAATATAAAAACAAACAAACAAATATCTATAATCTTACTACAGATATTTTGGTTAAAAAAAAAATTGGTATATTGTATAAGTTATTGTATATTATGAAGTTCAATATGAAATATTTTGTTAATAATAGATACGTAATACATATATAGTAAAATTACAAATAGAATTTTGTCTTGAATTACAAATCTAAAGTGAACGTAAAATATGAAGTGAAAACAAAAATGGCATAACGCTCATGCTTTTATTTTACACTTCGCTGGTGGCAAGTTTTTCTCGTTATCTCGATATTGTTAAATAATTGCAATAGGCCTTTATTTTTTACCTTGGTATCGCAATCGCCATTAGACTGCAAACGCTTGCGACAGGATATACCAATAGGATTATAACGGCATTTGTTTTATAAGATTCCGATTCTTTTTGGGAGAGGATATTGCGACAAGCATCAGCAGAGAAGTATATTGTGAGGACCAAGATTATCGAACCGACGCTTAGCAATGCAGTACCTATTGCATCTAAACCTGCAAAATACACAACGATTAAAGAAAATTAACTGTCGTTTTTAATAAAATTTTATAAAGATAATTAAGAATTTATATTTTTTATTTAAAAATTTAGCAATAGTGATCATTACTTCTAATTAATTTTTTATTTATAAATTAATAGTGTGATTTATAAAAATTTAGATGTATATAGTATGATTTATAAAAATATTGATATAATAATTTTTTTTTTAAATTATGTTAAAATTATTATTTTTTCAATTTTGTTTTTTTTTTTTTAAGAAAATAAAGCTATAGCTCAAGTATACTTGAATATCGAAATCTGAGTACAAAATATTCTCATGTCAATTTCTCTCTTTCTCTCTCTCTCTCTCTCTCTCTACATATATATATATATATATATATATATGTATATACATATGTGATATATATATATATACAGGGTGTCCGTAAATCGTGGGGACTTTTCTCGTATTTAGATAGAACGAGCCAAACTGAGTCGAAAAGTCTTGTACCATTTTGCAATTTTCTCAATAGTTTATGAGTTATTAATAATTAAAAATCGCCGTATTGGCCCGGCCCATCGCCAAATCCAAGCGCGCCGTGAGATACGACCGCCCCGCGGTCCGCGCGCGGGCAGTTGTTTACAACAAGCGGCGGCGATCACGCACGAGCGGCGCGTAACGCCGGGCCCCCGTTCTAAGCGATGATAGTAAAATTTTCTAACGACATAGAAAATTTTTTTGTGCGCACGTATGTACATACGTGTGTACATGCATACACAAGAAAATATCAATTCTACTGCTTAAAAAAGCGATTACTCAATTTACTTTTTTCTTTTAATAAGTAACGGTTGTCTTTAAGAAAGAATATTTTCTTGATAATAGTTATAAAATGTACAAATTTTAGAAAGAGTCTTTATCATGTACTCGAAAGAAGAATTTATACTCCTTCAAGAAGCATAATAAAATTCTATCAAAGAAAGTTAAAAAAAATAAATAACGTAATATGAGGAACCTCGAGATTAAAATAGGAGAAGTCAAAACTATGAGGGTCAGACGCAGATCACAGTGCGTAATATCAGAAATAACTGATTTATTCGTCATTTTGATACATTACATCGATCCGTACGTTTCGGTTCAGTTTTGAGCCATCTTCAGCGGTAGTTACAGAAATTGAGTTACACGTTCTCCGTACCATATGGCGAATTTACTGATTCAAAGTATTAGAAACATAGGCCAATAGATCCATATCCGCAAATTTGTTCAATTAATGTCGAGATATTAAAAAAATCCTTTAGGAAACTCATCATTCGGTCTGAAAAACGTGGAATACAGAGCCATGTACATAATGAATACTCTATGCGAGAAGACTTAACGATCTTATCGACAACGACACACAGCAATGATATGAAAGGTCCTGCAAGAAGAGGCATGTCGTAGGTCAATACACCGGCGAGAATTATAACAAAGCACGATTTGACACCGTCTCAAAATGACACGGATTTTTTGCATCATGCATATGTCACGGTTTTGAGCAAATTGTAATCCATGCTCATGAACTTTGGTCGTTGGCAAATCGGGGTTTTACTATTGATACGTGCAATATTGTGACGGTGTCAAATCGTATCTTTGTTATAATTCTCGTCGGTGTGTTGACCTACGACATGCCTCTTCTTGCAGGACCTTTCATGTCATTGCTGTGTGTCGTGTCGATAAGATCGTCAAGTCTTCTCGCACAGAGTATTCATTATGTACATGGCTCTGTATTCCACGTTTTTCAGACCGAATGGTGAGTTTCCTAAAGAATCTTTTTAATATCTCGACATTAATTGAACAAATTTGCGGATATGGATCTATTGGCCTATGTTTCTAATACTTTGAATCAGTAAATTCGCCATATGGTACGGAGAACGTGTAACTCAATTTCTGTAACTACCGCTGAAGATGGCTCAAAACTGAACCGAAACGTACGGATCGATGTAATGTATCAAAATGACGAATAAATCAGTTATTTCTGATATTACGCACTGTGATCTGCGTCTGACCCTCATAGTTTTGACTTCTCCTATTTTAATCTCGAGGTTCCTCATATTACGTTATTTATTTTTTTTAACTTTCTTTGATAGAATTTTATTATGCTTCTTGAAGGAGTATAAATTCTTCTTTCGAGTACATGATAAAGACTCTTTCTAAAATTTGTACATTTTATAACTATTATCAAGAAAATATTCTTTCTTAAAGACAACCGTTACTTATTAAAAGAAAAAAGTAAATTGAGTAATCGCTTTTTTAAGCAGTAGAATTGATATTTTCTTGTGTATGCATGTACACACGTATGTACATACGTGCGCACAAAAAAATTTTCTATGTCGTTAGAAAATTTTACTATCATCGCTTAGAACGGGGGCCCGGCGTTACGCGCCGCTCGTGCGTGATCGCCGCCGCTTGTTGTAAACAACTGCCCGCGCGCGGACCGCGGGGCGGTCGTATCTCACGGCGCGCTTGGATTTGGCGATGGGCCGGGCCAATACGGCGATTTTTAATTATTAATAACTCATAAACTATTGAGAAAATTGCAAAATGGTACAAGACTTTTCGACTCAGTTTGGCTCGTTCTATCTAAATACGAGAAAAGTCCCCACGATTTACGGACACCCTGTATATATATATATATATATATATATATACATATGTGATGATGCACACTTTCAGCGTATTAAAAACCATTATCGTTTATTTTTATTTTCTAACTTATCTTATCGGTAAATATGATATAGAGATAATGATAGAAATGATAAATATATTTAAGTTTCTCATAATTAATTAATTACGGTTTTATCAACATTGCGTAAGTTAGAAAATTAATGAGAATTAAAGCACTACACAGATAATTTGCTATAGATTGAAAACAGTTTATGATGTAACATTTTAAAGTAGACATGTTTCTTCTAATTTCAATTTTTATGGTATTGTTATCACATTAATTTTTTCGGTGTTATCGCATATCTTGGAAAGAGATTCTCTCGTAAGATTTATACCAAGAAGCAGTTATCTAAAGAAGACGAAAAACAAATAGATTAGAGCATATTGGAAAGTGTCGAAAAATAGATTGACATATAATTTTTATACATAACATTTTATGCGGAAATAAAAGATCTATTTAACTTTTAAATATATACATTATATATACATAATATTAAATGTACATAAACTTTAATTTAAATATGTATAGGTAATGTACTGTAGGTCATATTATACAGAATAAAACGAGGCCCAAAAGTGTCTGAGCATGATCAAGCGATTTAACGAAAACAATATGAACGAGGAAGAGTCACAGTTGTCTCCGGAGCAAACAAATGGTTAGTTGTGTTGAGTTGGCGCTCTCTATTCCGATAATATATATTCCATATTAAAATTTATTACCCTGACACAAAGAACTCTAATTATTTTTATCAATCTAAACCCATACACCTCTCCTACAAATAAATACACAAATATACAATAGTACAAACAAACAAAAAGTTACATAATTGGTCATATATACTTTAAAGAGTATGTACATATGTATGAAGAGAGTTATATAGTCGCATGATATGAATTGTAAATCGCGATGCTTATCAAAAGTTTGCCGTCACGCTTAACTTTTGTTTAACTTGTTCGTTCAATAAGCTTTATAACGTGTGGCATGAATATAAATTATACAATTGTGCATGAAACATTCACGTAGTTCGTGTGAACGTAATTGTTCAAATTATTTTTCGCCTGGAGAAACGTTTTCGTTGCATGAAATAAACCAATTTTATTTACACGTATTATTTATGTTTTATTGTATTTGTTGTGTTTGAATTTCTTATATAATACTTACTGTAATGATATATCTTTATGCAGTACTTTTATAATCGAAAACAGAATGAACGTTTGATGCCCCCCCCCTCTCTCTCACTCTATTTATCTGCTCTTAAGTTTATAAATATTTTGATATACTCGTGTACGTGCGCGCAAAAGTAACGAGTAATATTCTTCGCATAAGTTACGTCCGAGAATTTTCGAGGATTTTCAACTCGCGCGAATAAGGTCTCGTGTACCAGACGAACTTGAGTCCAACTTTCACCGATGCGCTTACGTCGCTCAATGCAAGCGTATCTACACTGCATTGCGATAAATTCGCTTTCGTAAAACAGAACGGCCGTGCATTAATATAGTATATTTCCATACGCGTAAATTGTACTAAAAAATATCGGACTCGTGTGAGAATTATTTTACTCGAAATCCTTAAAATAGAAGCAATTCTTGGAATTTGCGGTACCGACTGTAATTTGTAATGCACTGGTATCTCTATTGTGCCAGTATCTCTATTGCACAAAACTCGGAATACCAGCTGCTTTTGATACGTAACTCACTTTCTACTATCATTAGCTATAACGGTGTCTCTATAGCGAGCTCAAACTTTTAACGGTTACTACAAAGTTAGAACTGATATTTTGGGAATAATATGGGAATTGATAACAAGTAAATCGAGGTTATCGGGTAATTGAGATATCACAATTATTGAATGATAAAGTCTATAAATATCACAAAAGAATTCCGAAAATAGAAAATCTTTCTCAATTTAATAATTTCATAATAACCGCGGAATTATTTAATATTTAACAATTAACTTGCTTTATTCTTATAACAGTTACCTTTAAAATAATTTTTTAAATTTAATAATTGATTAATTGTTCTAATTTATAATTACTAGTGCATAATATACAAACGAGATTATCATTATTAAACAAATATTAAAAATATTATTAGTAAGAAATATTACTATTGCATTAAAATTATTTATTCTCTCTACATTTATTCTGAAGATATTAATTATTCTACCTGACCTTGTATCTTCCATTTTGCTTTTAAAAAAGAAAATCGCAATTCTGTTAATACCGGACTTTATCGGTGGAATTACACCGTTATCCGGATGTTGTCGAGACTCACTTTCTACGAGTTCGATAGCGGAAGGCACGTTATTTGGGTTGCAGGTAACATCCGCGTGAACGTCAAAGTTCTCTATGGGAGTGCCCATGATTGCAGATGCTCCAAATGAATTGTCGTCTCACAGCACTCTGTTGTCTGTCACTCGCGGGTTTGATAAACTCGAAAGGCGCGCTCGCTCGCGGTAGTGTCGCGAGTGAATTCATGAGGGAGAGAGACGGTCGCGGTAGTGCACAGTGAGAGTGAGTCCCCACTTTTACCTGTGCCACCACTGGATTGCGATGTTGTAATGAATTATCACTTGCAAAAAGTGTATACGCTCGTGCGCGCAAGAAACAGAGAAAGAGAGAGAGAAAGAGAGAGAGAGAGAGAAAGAAATAGTAAATATAAGAAATATCCTTTCCGTAAACTTTCTCCCTCTCTTGCTGCAGTTTCTAACACAGTTTTGCAAGAAATACTAAATTAAGTAATAATTTATCAATTATTAGCACACTCTATGTATGGATAAAAGCAAAATTGAGAATGGTACTGACAATATGCCGTGATAAATAACTATTTAAAAATTACAAAATAAAATGATTAGTGAAATTATTAATATTATTAAACTTATTAGACAAAATAAGTTTATTATTAAAATTATAAAGATGATTAAAATTGTTACGATTATTTCAAAATCAAAATTAGATATAATGGAAAATTATTAGAAATATTATTTTTTAGATTGTAGAACTTTTAAATTTTGAATATTTATAAAAGGAGGTTTTAAACGAAGAACCGAGGGCAGAGGAGAAATTGCATTAAGAAAATGGAAACTATGTTAAAACTAAAGCATATTTTTTATAATTGTAAATAATGTAATAATACCTTTTGCTTTGCGCAGAGCTTATAAGTTTTTTACATTATGTTTCTGCATATCACGACCTTCGATCGGTAATGATATTATAATGTAGAGCAGATATTGAGTGTATATGTATAATGTCACATACATATATCTGACTTATAGTTAAAATGCAGTTTCTTTTAACCTACTTATAAGTTTATATGTAGGATGCTAATTTTTATTGTTTTTAATTGTATAACAGAAAATTTACGTATCACGTGCTCTTTGAGCTATAGATATACATGACCATATTTTTGGAAAATTATTATATAGGTTTTTGTAACAAATAAAATACATATTATATGTGTACGCATTAAATCTAAAATTAACAAAATTAAATATATATTTAACATTAAATATTAAATATTAAAATGTGTTATGCTGCGTGACACGCTAAGAAATATATCAAAACCGAAGTTCGTTAGAAATAAGTTCGTTAGAACACTTACTTATTTTGCCGGAGAATGCAGATATACAATATGTGAATGTATTTGTTGAATGATGACTCATCATATGATGATTAACTGTTAAGTGATTTGACTACAATACTTTACATGAGAAAGTAGAGTAATCAACTTGTGCAATCTATGAATCATTGTTGCCTTGACTGGAAATGCGAATCATTTTAATCAACATGTTAGTGTTCGACTGTTATTTTACATTCTTATTTGATAACTTAATCTTAGATAAGATTTTTTCCAATTTTTTTTTAAATCTTATTTTATCTTATATTATTTACGGAGTTTTTTAATCTCATTTTACTTTAATTTTGCTATACGCAAACTCTGGATTAAATTATAATTATTGTACTCTGATGTCTTATAAGACCAGCTCTATAAGTTCATAAAATTATTTAATCCAATCGTTTTATCAATTGGAAAAATTTTTGTCGCAACATTTTCTAACTTACCGTTAGTAACTCTTACTGGTTAGCGGTATTCACTGGGTCTAACTAGTCTGAAAGAAAGTGTCCACGTATCTTCGAATGATACCCGTTACCGACTGTCGCTGAATCAATTTTTCAACCATAATTGTACAATTGTGAATAAATGTATAGGAGAAATCGCAGTTCTATTGGTATATTATATTATTTTGTAGAAATCAAGGTTTTTTCATTGAAATATCTTTTTTTAATAATTTAGCATTCCATGTGCTTTCAAAATATAATAATATCTTCTTTATATAAAAACAAAATTTTCTCAGCATAATGTATGTGTCTATTTTTGTTCATTAATAATTTTTTAACGGAATATAAAATTGAATTTTATTTTATGAAGTTTATTGATGTGAGTCAAAGTGACTTAAGGGATTTGAAGAATCTTAAGAATTTAAACTTAAATAAAGGGTAGGGGATAAGATTCCCTCTCTTTCTAATTTTAAATCAATAATTTCTTAACGGATTATGTAAGGGATTGAATTTTGTAGATTTCGCAAAGATTTGCAGCAGCCTTATTGGAAGATTAAAAGCAACTTTATCTCGATAAGAAATATATTTGCAGATATTTTTATAAAAATTGTTGCGTATTTTTTTAGTTATTAAATATAAATATATGTTAGATAATCTTTAACGTAATTTTTCTACTTTGTGTTTTTGTATATTATAATTGTGCCTCTTCAAATCTTGATAACCACTCAGGATCCCTCTTCACATATATTATCTCACAACGGTGGACACGCTTTCCTATAGTTTTCCGCAGCATGCGAATAAATTAGCTTCAGCAAATATCTCTTTACATACGATATGCAACCGTTTAAGATTTTCTTTATATCCTTTAGTAGCATTGACAGAGTAAACAGTCTTCTTCTTTAACTGTATAAAAGCTGCTATATTATAGATTTCTCAATAGGTGATTCGCTCTTTAATAGTTGAAATGATCGATTGTACTTTGTACTCATGCGAAGCACATAGCAGCTCGTGAGACATTGTGAAGACAAACCCTGAGTGGCTGAGAGAAATCGAAGAGAGACCAAGCGAAAGATGTCACAATTTTTTTCAGTTTGCATGCTACGCATCTGTAACATCAATAAAGCAGGTGGCTCTCTTCAGATTCTTTCAAGCAGTGAAGATCTGCTTGCTTATTATCGTCCCGAGTGCGAATATGATGGCTTATGGCATACTCTCGGTGGATTTCTATTACCTTTCGAGAGGTGGCGATCGAATAAAAACTGACGATTTTTCGTCGGGTTTGAACTTATGGGTCTTTGACTCGTTAGCGCAGCGCACATTTTTCTGCGCCACGATCGCCACAGAAAAGATCATTGACTTTTTCATTGTAAATCTTTAAGCAATTGTACGTTATTACAACACGTGGATAGTGTGAAAAATTTTGGCAGGTCGATGCAGCGCAATTGGGAAAAAAATTAGAAATCAGAAAAAATGATTGATGGCCTGTTCGATGCTGCAGTTTCGGTTCATATCTGGTTTAATATTTTTTTCTTCTCTTTTTCAGGGTCGCAACTGAAACCAGCTACGACGTCGTATCTTTTAATTAAATAAAAAATTAATTAATTAATATTTAATAGATAATTACATTATTAAAATAAAATAGATGAATAAGTATCTCTTAATTTAAATAAAGAAATAAAATTAAGATTAAAATTAACTAAAATATATATTATATTTTAATGATTACATTTTAATCATAAGATACAGATTAAAATACATTATTTTATTATTAAATTTCTTTATTACTTATTGTTAGTATATACAAAATATTCTTGTATTACTGAATATTTATTTAATTTAAAAACAAATAACTTAAATTAGAAAGAAGATAAGAATCACTTTTTCTTATACGTATAAGAAAGTATTAGCTCATTCTAATTTTTGTTGATAGAAGGGTTTATACTTTGTGTTGAAATGATATTATATATAATTAATTTATAATCTCGAAAAGCGATTTCTCCGAATTTAATTAACTCGCCATCAGCTACGTGTCGTTTCTCTTTCGAGTTTTTGATTGTCATTTGGCGGCGACGACGACGGGATGGAATGTCTTTCTTAAAGACCAATATCGGCAAAGTTTCATCTCGCCTCGGGGGAGAAGCTTGATGAATGCTCTCCCATAAGAAGGGAAAGAGGTAAATGCGACAGCGGTTTTAACTAATTTCCATGACGCGATTTTCTGCCAGCCGACCAGACCGTTGTGTTCCAACTAAACGCGAATGATATTTAGGTAGGATATTCGCGGAAGGGTGAGATAGAGGAGGGGAGGAGAGCGATTGCGATCGATTGCGAAGGACTTGAAATATCGGATAGATGAATCTCGAAAACTCAAGCCCGAAGAAGCTCTTCCTAAGACGGAGAACCTTTCGGGGCTCGTATGTGTGACCTTGGGTTGGGGGAGAAGGTGGGACGAAAGGGGTCGATTCGTTGTGCAGATTAAGCGCATGCATGTGAAATTGCTTTCTCTGCTGGTATTGCTGTTCGCGAGCTTTTTAAAGGTTGAAGGGTTCGTTCGCGAAATTGGCTTCGTTAATGCATATTGATATTGACACGGCAAACTTTATTTTGGTATAATAAAGATGCACGATATGACTTATTTACACGACATTATAGAAAAATATATACGTATCTTGCACCGAGCATGATAAAAATTATTTATGGCGTACACTTTTATGTTTTACTGTAATATAATATATTTACTGAAAGTAAATTTTTTTACGCAAATATCGTATCAAAGGCATAAAATTTATTTATCATTATTTTTTTAAATATTTAAAGATTTATATGCGAAACAGCATATATAACGAAACATATGGAATAAACACATGGAATAAATAAGATATTAATATATATATCTTTTTATATCAGATATATATGTTATAATTTTGACGCCAATACTCTCATCAGCTTTCAATGAAATCTCTGACGAAGAAAAGGAATGAAATAACAGGTTTTTCGAATTACTGGATTTTATGTAACAAATATATGTAAAGCAACTTTTGTGCGTGTGAAAGGAAGGGAATTTTGTAAGAAATTTATCTTAACCTTATTGCCAGAACAGTCACGTTAGAGCAAAAAGATGTGAGTTACAATGGCGAGAATGGAAATAAGATGCTAGGAGAAGTCCTACCGAATCCAAGTCACGTTTAATCTTTTGGAAATTATGCATTCTGTCGCCTCACTGTTTGTAGAATAAGTCTGCGAAATCGTTTACTTCAATTGACTGCCTAAGAAGTTCTTGAATACTAATACTGGATTTTATGTAACGATACGCGATAATTTTCCTTTATTCTCACATCTCTTTCTTATTCATATATTTTCTCTTCCGTTCATTGTACTCTTATTTATTTCGTGCTTTATATATATATATATGTTATATATATATATATATAA